AAGAAGCACAACTGACAACCTGTTACATGGAATCAAGGGAATACGGCCCAGGAATTGGCAGTGGGAGTATTCCTGGAACTGGTGGGTGACAAGGAGCAGCTGGAGAGGCATGGTTGGATAGAGAACCGCCCAGGTGGTTCTACCTTCTGAGAAGAACCCATTAACAGACGAGCAAGTTTCATAGTTATATGAAACCTCACCGTGAAACTGAGGACAGCTCTCGTTAAGCTGAAAGAGAGCCCTGACCTATCCCCAAGATGAACCTTCTCAGACAGTTCACCGGGAAGACCCCATGTCATTAAGAAATGAGTAATGGTGAAAAATATAAAGACAAAAGAAAACAGCACAAGAGTTATAAAATAACACAGCAAAATAAAATAGAGAAATGGGCAGAAAAAACAAATAGCAGACATGAAACAAAAAATGCCTCCATGAAGCAAATAAAAATTGTGACTATACCGCTGTGATTAAAAATAACCTATATGATGAAATGACTTCTGTAAGAGAAGAGGCCAAAGCAGAAATACAAGAACTCAGGGGAGATATGTTGAGACAACAAAAGAGATAATATAATATATTACACATATATATATATATGATAGCAAAACTCACAAAAGAAGTTAAAAATAATAACATCAAAAATGGCAAAGAGGAGCCTGAACACTGCTAACTATTCATCAAGGATAGTGAGGATAAGATTGCTTTTTAGAATCTCATTTTGTTCAGGGAGTTAAAACATAATAGAAGGAGAAAATGATGGCTCCCCATTCTTGTCCACTGTACACACCCTAAGTGTCCTGGAGGAAGGGGGACAAAACAATAGAACTAACATATATAATAAATAAAATATATATTTCAAAATACAAATCACAGAGACTTTTGAGAAATGAAAAAGGAAGGAGAAATTGAACCAACTGAATGAGACATATTCCAGGGGAAAGAATCAACATAGTATGACCAACCACAAAACATACACTAATAAAGTAAATGGTATGCATATGTGTGTGTGCGTGTGTATATATATATATATATATTATATATATATATAAAATATATATATATATATACACGATACTTTATATATCAAAGACAAAAAATATATATTTTATATATATATTATATATATAATATATATTTAAAAATATATATTTTATATATTATTTTATATAATATATATATAAAATATATAAATTATAAAATATATATTTTATATATTATATATTAAAAATATATATTTTATATATTATATATTAAAATATATATTTTACATATTTATTTATATATATAAATATATATAAACATATATAAATAAATATATAAAAATATATATTATATATATATGATACTTTATATATCAAAGACAAAAAAAAATTAAGGCACCAAAAAGGGAAAAATTTCAGACTAGCTGGACATAGTAACATTCAACAAGTTAATGAAGCAGAGTTCTTATGGAAAGCAGATGACACATAAATTTTATACCCTAAAAGATGATATTAAAACATAAATGGGAGAAACAAACATATTTTCAGCATTCAAGAATTCACCTTTCTTGAAGACATTACTGAAAGACAAATTTCAGATGACCAAGATATAAATGAGAACACGATAGTGAGAGGACTGGTGGTGAGCTACTGAATACATTTACCTAGAAAACTAAAATCAAAAGAAATGCAGGAATGATGGTTTGAGCAGAATATAAATGCTCCAAATGATTTAAATAATAAAACGGGGGCTGGGTGGAAGGAAGAGAGTGCAAGGTCATAAACACACAGGCTACTTTCTTCTTACCTGTCTTCAGCAGTGCTTGATAAAATATTTAAACTAACAGAATTATATTTTAAGATAGGAAGGCAAATACTAAAAGATAATGTAACCAACCAAAACTGGACAGTGGAGAAATTAAACACAGAGAGGAGGAAACAGGAATGCATGGAAATACATTAATTTTAAAATTGCTCACAAGAGGAAATCAATAGATATTATCCAAAAATAGATTGGCCATGTCATATAAAGTTTTAGTCATAAAGCTTAGTTAGAACAAATATTCAAAATCATCAGAGAAACACATAGGCAGGAAAGCAAGGAAAACAGACCATATAATGAGGTTTTTTTTTTCTTTTTATAAAAGAAATAATTATAACTAAAAACAATCTTAAGGTTACCAGGGAAAAGGAGGTGAGAATGGATAAATTTGGGAGCTTATGATTTGCAAACGTTAGCCGCTATATAAAAATAGATAAAACAAAAAAAAACAAGATTCTTCTGTATAGCACAGGGAACTATTTCAATATCTTATAATAACCTTTAATGAAAAAATGAAAACAAATATATATATACACACAAACACACACACATATATATATACACACACACACACACACACACACACACATATATGCATGACTGGGACATTGTGCTGTACACCAGAAACTGACACATTGTAAATGACTGTACTTCAATTAAAAAAAAATACTAAGCATACACTGTCAGATCTCAGACATATCTGTCATATCAATCGAAGCCAACCCCCAACGTCACCCAGGACACACACAAAGTGTTCAAGCCAAGATCAGAATAAATGCTGGCCGTCAGGCTACAGACTACATGTCATTAACCACTACCCTTCACAGCCTTTCACATCTATGGATTTATGTATGTATGTATCATCTACATATTTTTCCTGTCTCTCATTAGCATTTCCTGTCTCCCACAAAAGCAGAGGTTTTATTGTGTTCAATATCTTAGCCCCAGCACCTAAAACAGGGGGTCTACAACATAGTAGGGAACCAACAGAACTTTATTTAATGGGAACTCATATCTCTTTCAAACAAAGTAAAATTTGATGCTGACTAAAGAAAAAATTTTCTATTGGTTTCTAACATAATAATAATTATTTTTTAAAAAAGAACTATTTCAGAACACTCAGAAAAAAATCTGGATATGTGCTTGCAGAGTTACAGAAAGCTTTATGCAATACAAAGAAAAATGAAGAAAAAAACCACAGACATTTGAAATTCTATGTCATGCTTCCCAGAAACGGTTCTGCCACGTTCATCATTTTATGCAGTATTAACATTAAGGAAAGAGCAATACGATTGGTAAATTCATAAATCATCCCTGGGCTTCAACCTTAAAAAAATTAAATAGAGAGAAAACAGTAATAAAGCCTTAAACTGGGACCATAATGGAAATGGAACGAAAGGAAACACCTGAGAAATAACTAAGGGTAATATTAGCAAAGGCTGCGGATTCATTTAATTTGGTGACACAGACTGACTTCCACGTTTCTACCTTGAGTGACCTGGTAGAGGGCAGTGCCACCCATGTGTCATGTTCAAGGGGGACATGTCGATTATATTTGACCTGTGGAACATCTAAACTGAGATGTTGAGATGGCTGTTAGATATGGAGATCTGCGGTGCCTGGTAGAGGTCACAGCACACTGACTTGAGAGTCATCAGAGCATGGAGAAGGTGCTGGAAACCAGGGCATCTCCCAGGCAGTGAGTGAGAAGAGAAGCAGGCCCAGGGCAGAAAGCTGGGAGACTCCAAGAGTAGTGCCTAGGATTGAATATTTTGCATCTATGTGTTCAGTAAATATCCATGAATATGAGAATGACCTGCCAAGATTTAGAAAAAAATTCCTGAAATTCTGGCTTTTAAACAAACAGTGATTTTGCAAGCACAAAGATCTCTCTTTCACTCCCTCTTTCCAGCTGGTTTTTGAGTGACTACTTTTCCTATATTTTACTAGACCTCAAAATTCCATGGAGCTAATTTGCAAAAAGAAGTAACTGCTATATCCATAACCTATCAACAGAACAAGTAGTCACTGAGCATGCTTGCTGTGCAAAGGCATACTGTTAGGGCCAAGGATCAGGGGTAAAATGTGTGTACAGAATGTTGTCCCCATCCTTAGTGTAAAATGCAACTTGTAAAGACAGAGACAAATCCACTAAGATTTAAGTAACAATTCTTAATAGCCTACGTGCTAGAGGAATGGTAGCTGATAAGAGCTGCAAACGTTCAGAGGAAGGGAGCCATGCTCGGAAGGTTACAGAACATCTCATAGAGGAGATGGGGCTGATTTGAATGAGACGACCAAAAGTGAGGAAGAGAAAGCCATTCAAGTGCTCAGCTCTGAGCAAACTCGGGGAGACTCCCAAGGTCAAGGTTCCTAGAGAAAACAGCTGACAGTAGAAGGGTGGAAAGGCAGAGGGTGGAAGATCAAGGCTGTCCTCAAATGTAGGTGAGATTTGACTTAGTAAAACACACACACACACACACACACACACACACACACACTGTCTATCACTCGGTGGAATGGCGGAATTTCTTCTTTTGTCTTTCCTCATTTTTGATCTATTTTGCATCTCCTAGTGAAACTCAAAACCAACAACAAGGCTTCCCTTGCCTGCCTAAAAATCTGAGTCCCACCTAGTTTCCTCTAAGAGTCACAGAGGTCTTGGAGTGAAGGATTTGGGGCTTGGACATTTGAGGGGAGAGTCAGCACTGGAAAGAGAGGGAAAGATTTAGTGAAACCTAGATTTTCACAGAAAGAATATCCTAGAGACGCTTAATTTCTTGGAGATTCTCATTCCCAAGTTAGATAAGTCACTTTGAACAGAAATAGAATTTGGCTTTGATAAATTACTTATCTCTAATGATTCATCTCTAATGAGATCTGATTCTAAGTGATCTCAAACCCCAGCCCAAGTCTTAGTCATTTTAAGACCCCTTTCATGTAATAAAATGACAATCCAACTGAAGGATTCAGTGGGACATTAAAGTCCCCTGTAAATGATAAGGACCCATAACACCTTCATCTTTCACCAGAAGTCTGTGATCTCCCCGGGGGATTGGGTACCCAAAGCAAAGAAGGGACAGCATCCCTGGGTCCACATCTTCACAGCTTCTGGAAAGCCTCCCTCTTTTTCCTAGTAAGCAGTTGACTTCATCCACTCACCCTCCCTCTACTGTTGACTGCACATCTGGACTCACCTGAATGAAGATATATTCATCCTGGACGACCAGGGAACTGATGTCGATGGAGCGGGCAAAAGGCCCACTTCGAGTAGTCTCAGCACATTCCTGGATCCTGCAGGTGAGGTAGTGAGCATCTGAAATGGGAGGGCAGAGTGACACTTAGACACAAGGGGAAATGGGCAGCAAAGCCCTACTTCTTGGGAATCAGTGATGCCATTTAAAGCAACCCTGAGATTGCATTTTCTCATCCACAAAAATGTAATAATTAAAAAAAAATCTAGTTCAGGCAAGAGAGTGGGGAAAGAGTTAATCTTATATCCCACCAGCCAAAGAGTACCACCAGCCAAAGAGTAACTTGGTACAGTTTTTTTGAGGAACAGGTTTGAAATATCCAGCAGAATTTTAAATGTGCGTATCTTACACCAGTCATTTTAATTCAAGGGATGTTTTCTAGAGAAACACTTGTATGTTTTCATAAAGAGACAAGGGCAAAAAGCGTTCACTCTGGCATTATATATAGCAGTGAAAAAGTTGGAAACTGGCTAAATGTCCATGAATTAAGGAACATTTAAATAAACAGAGGTACACGTGTAACAGAGTACCAGGCTGCAAATAAAAAGAAAAAATAGGTCGACACATGCATCAACATGCTGATTTCCCCAAGGTGCACTGTTCTGCAACATCGTAAAAATTTATTTAGCAACATATACTGCATGATTCAATTTATGACAAAAACCAAAAACCAAAACCAAAACCAAAACAAAACCAAAGAATATGGTCTTTATAGATACAGATTTATGCCGTTACGGGTATAGAAAAAAAATTTAAAGGATGCCTATAAAAATTAGCTCTGATGACTTTGGGGGACAGGAAAGGACTTAAAGAGACAGAGTTGAAATAAGGTCTTTGCTTTTTATATTATATACATCTTTATTGTGTTTACAATAAGAATGTATTTACTTATTACTTATATAATAAGTAAACTTGCATAATTACTTGTAAAATTTTCTCAAGATCTCAGCCACTGAAACTTCCCCAACCAACCCCCTCAAAATTTTGGCAGGAGCTGGAAATGAACGAGAAACCCTGGACTCTAAAGCATTCTGATCACGACTATGCAAGACAATTCAAGGAAGACAATCCACTCAATTATTTGTTCCCCAGGGAAAAACTATAGGTAGGTCTCCATAAAGCACCCTTTGCGTACACTTGCTTTTAAAATATTTAGTGTTTACTTAATGGTGCTTAAAAATAACAAATGGGTCAAAGTGGAAAGTAGGGATCATTTTAGGACTAAAGGCAGAGAAGTCTTTGTTATCATCTAAAATGACACACATTACTACATCTGTCTTAAACATGTGCATGGCGTGGGTAGGTGTCAGGAGCTACAATGGAGGGGATAGTACGCAACAGAGATAAATAAAGACAAAAGTTTAAACAAGCAAGAATTTATACCAACTCAGTTCAAAACAAGGGTACTTTAAATTATACCTAATTGTTGATCTGCAATTGATTGATTGATTGATCCAGCAAATATTTCATAATTGCACGTAATGCATTGGGTATCATTTAAGCACTAGGAATATGGCAGGGAATGAGACAGAGGTTTTCTATTCTGAAAGCACCTGCTGTCTAGGAGCGGGTTCACTCCTATCATCTGTAGCTAGCTATTACACACATTGATTTATAAACAAAATGCTAACTGAACAAAGAAACATGTCTTGGTAGGAAACGAATTCATAATGTGCTATAGCCCAACTTTTCAGATGTCTGTATCTGGGCAAAGCCCATGTCTTCTGTACCCTTAATCCAGACACATCATACACAGATTTCCTTCTCCCCATCAGCAGTCTTGTCATCTGCCCAGTAGCTGAAGCCTCTTCCCTTTTCTTTCCTCCATATGCCAGGCCGTCCAGCTGGTCCCCAGGCTTCATAGTTCTGCCTCTGAAGTGCTTCCAGAATCTCTCTTCTTCTCTCTGTGACCCCTGCCACTTGCCTGGACAAGTCCCTCCCATCCGTTTGCCTGCTGTCTCCACATCACACCTGGCGCTCAGGTGCACGATGGATCGTAAGCTCGGTGTAGGGGAGGTAAGGAACCAGCATCTTCTCTAAAACCTAACCTGAGCTAATCTCTCTGGGCTTCAACACCATCCAACAGTTCCAAGTGCCCCGGGACAAAACCCAAACATTTTTCTATGGAATAGAAGGCCTTTTACAACTAGCCTAATGAAATCAACTATCTAAGGGGCCATGTGAATAACGTACCAGAGGAAACTGAGCTGGGGTGGGATGATGAATGGCAGGTGGCATGTAGCCCCAGTGCCAGGGATCACCAAGGAACAGCCA